TATTACTGAAAATTTCGTCCAATTCCATTGTTCCAGTTACATTACAATCTTGTGTAAGATGACTTCAAAAATTTGTAACATGTTGGATACTCAACTTTTAAGTGAAATCATGATTATGACCTAGTTGAACAAAGTGCACTCAACAAGTTGTAACAGTACTCTTGAATACATAATAACCATGCATTAATACATAAAATGCTAATTTTAAGTTTTGTAAAGTGAATTTACCAGAGAAAGTAAAAGAAGATATTAAGAAAATGTGAACACCAGCGTGCTTATCTTGGACATGAGAATTAATGAAATTTGAGACTTTATACACAAATGATGCCTATGTAACACAGATAAATATTTCTTGTTTATATCAGTTACTATTGGATGATACATTATTTTCACAAATAAATATACTCATCAAGATTTTGAGCTGATTTTTTATATACAAGTTGTCTTCCTACTAGATTTCTTACAATTTCCCTCATTTTCTCTTTTTTTTCCCCTGCGTTCCTGCCTACTTTGTAGGTATGCAATTTGTAAAAAATGTATGGTCAAAATTCTCGTAGATCACAAAAAACATCAAATCGCACTTAGTCCTACACAGTAAATGCTAAGAAAGACCTTTAAATTCAAACTCAGTAACAAATCTAGCAAATTCTTCAACACAACAAAGAATCAGATTCATAATGTTCAGAACTGTGTGTTGGTTACATTCACTATTACATAACATCAGATACTGTGGGTTAACTCTACCCTCATCATCTCAAAAGAACCTCACAGCATGACTAATATTACACAAATTCGAATCCTCATAATTGAAAAAAAATTCATGACGTTAAAAAGCCCCAAAATTGTTTAGTCCGTTCAAAATGACGAAATTTGAATCCTAAGTTCCTAATTCTGAAATCCCTACTTCTGAAATTTCCTTAATCTTTTCAAAAGCCTAATCCTAATTTTTCAAAAACCAACATTCCTAATTTTTCAAAACCCCAAATCCTCAATTTTTTTAAAAAGCCCTAATTTTGGAAATTTATTAAAATCCCTAATCTGAATATGAAACCAGCAGATGAGGATCTCCTTCACTCTAAACTTTTCCATATCAATCAAACCCAAATCTCAATCTCAATCTACAGATGTCGGAAGACAAAAGATTTTGTCAAAACAACCTGTGTTCGTGAAAAAGACATCATATTTGCTCAAACCGATGATAGTTCACGACCTCTGTAGAGGCTGGACGTGGAAGTTTGCTCGTCGTGAGATGAGTCGCCGTCGGTGAGATGGGTTCGCCGGTGAGGATGAGGATGGGTTCGCGGTCAGGATGAGATGGCGTTTCGACGGCGCCTACTCGAGTGTGCTTCGAGATGAGAGTGTGTGGAGAGTGAAAGTGAAATCCCTTCATTGAGCCTGTGTGTTGTTTTTGGGCGGGAATTCGAAAACACACTGTAATTGATATATATATAATTATACTATATATATTTTTTTTATAATATCAGGCTTGTCATGAACCAACGGCTCATCTGAGCCGTTGCGCCAGCAAACTAAGACCTTCCTCAAGGAGAGGGATCCAAACTTCCAATCCCCCCCATCATATACTATAAACATAGTTGTTTATCGAATATTTTATGATAAAATACAAAACTAGACCGTACTGGCTAAACCCACTAATGCCTGTATTTAGGACCCCAAATTTTGACCTAAAGTAATCACCTAAAATTGATTAGTTTTTATCTATATTAAGAGTTTAAATTTTTATTGTTAGACCAGTCTCAAGCTCCTCAACAAGAAGATCTGTTGGCCAATTAAAAACAATAGTATATATATATATATATAATTATTGTTAGCTAATTAAAAATTTTATATAATTAGTCAACAGAAATATATATAATAATGTTTATCAAAACAGTCTAATGTACAAATGTTAATTGAATATAATAATTTTCTATTTTTAATTTTGCCCTCTTCTTTATCACTATTTAGTTAATATTTAAACCCAATTATTTCCTTAATTTTGAGTTGTCCCCTAATTTTTGGTTCCTCTCTTATTAATCCATAATCTAATTGAATAATTTGCCTTAATTTTTTCATTTTTTTCCAATGATTTTTGTTTTGTTATCAAATAATAATGCATTTTGATTGTGTAGATTATGATTATATCTTATCAGATATCTATATTTACAATCTCAGACTATAACTTCTATATCTTGACAATGATAGAATATGTTATTATATCATTGATTTGCTAAATTTTAATAATAACACAACCACCCTATTTTATCTTTTTTTTTGAGTCTTTGTAAAAAAAAATTCGCTATCATTAACGGTATGAAAAGAAATTTAATAATATAGGTAAAATACAATTTACCTCACCCTAAAGGTTTTACTGACACAATAAACCAGACTTCCCAGTGTATGAATAGATGTAACAGTAACCTCCTTACATTTATATTTGACATGTTAAGATTCCCCCAGAAACTATGACCGCCGTTTACTGCACCTAGCCGAACCCACTTATGTCAATCAGACTATAACATCAAAATCACCTAAAATGCCTCAAGTGGCCTATAACTGGCCTATAACGTATAACTAAAGTGCCAATGTAAACACTTATTTATTTTATCTTATTTAATATATATTTTTTATTTCTAAATATTTATTTTATTTTGTAAATTATTTTACATTTCTTTTAATCATTAAATCTTTAAACTCAAGATAAATTTTCACACTCGAACTCGTAACTAAACACATAACTCAAACTACATTCAAAATATTTTCAAACTTATACAACACATTAACTGAAAACTCCACATTATTTTTAAAACTTAAACTCAAATCATAACAAAACACATACAAAAAAATTAAAATATTTTTAAAATATATTTATAAATAAATCATTTAAATAAAAAATAAAATTTTTTAAAAATTTGTTAATATTAAAAAATTATATAAGCATAAGTTTGTATTTTTTTTAAGTTTGTGTTTGTTATGAATTTGAAAATAATTTTTGAATTAACCAACACAATCAATAAAACTCAATTCAAAATTATTTCAAACCATCATAACAAACAAATCATAACTCGAAATCCACATTATTTTTCAAAAGAGAGCTGCTGCATACGGAGCCCCAGTGGGGGTCGCCCCCAGTGAGGTGGGAGCCTCCAATCATTCGCCACTCACTGGGGGTCGACCCCAGTGAGGTCCGAAGCATATTTTCTTTCAAAACTCTACACTTCAAATATAAACAAAACACTTAATTTTAAAATATTTAAAATATATTTATAAATAAAATAAATATTTAATATAAAAAAATTTAAAAAAATTAATATTTAAAGATTATATATTACATAAAGTTTGAATTTTTTTTA